GTATGATTGTTTTGAAGCTATCATGGATGAAGCTCTTAAGAAAACTTACACTACAGGCAAACGGTTGATTGTCTGTGGTGACTTCAATATTGATTTATTACAAAAATCTAGTTCGAGTATTAAAATAAAAAATTTATTTCAATCATACAATCTGAAAAACTTATTCATTGAGCCTACTAGAATAGCTGCTACTTCGGCCACTTGTATTGATAATATATATACAGATATCATACCACAGAAAAAACAAATTATTAATAAACTAGATAGTGATCATTGTGGCCAGTTGATTACATTTCCATATCAGCTCAAGCAGGTGACAAAAAAACACATCACTGTTGTGCCAAAATCTGCTAATCGTGTGGAACGTTTTAAAACTCAATTAGATAGAAAAATGTGTTATCTAAAATATAAAGACAGTCCAAATGATTTATATAATGATTTTTTTAATATATACTGCACTGAATTTAATAATGTTTTTGTACCCAAAAAAATCTGTGTTAATGATGCGGTAACTTTTACTAAGTGGGCTACGCCTGGAATTCATAAAAGTAGAAGGACACTTTATGAACTTTATAATGAAAGAAACTGTAACACTAGTGAAAAATTTAAAGAGCATGTTCGTAACTATTCTAAATTGTTTAAAAAAGTATGCCGCTTAGCAAAATCAAATTACTTAAGTTCAAAGATTAAGAACAGTAATGACAAAATTAAAACGACATGGAATATTATAAACGATGAAACTGGAAAATCCAAAACTCGCAATAATAATTATAACTTAAATATTGATAATAAAAGGGTTACTTCAGATATTGAAGTTGCTACAGCTTTCGAAAATTTCTTTACTGATATTCCAGTTTCAACTACTAAATCTTTGAACTCTTCCCCCATTGCTGCCGAATCAATCTTAAGAGAAAACGTGAAACCTTGTACTAGTCATTTTCATTTTAAACATGTTGACTTCAAAGATGTAATTAAAACGTTTCACCAATTAAATAAAAAGAAAACCACGGATCTGTGGGGCAATTCCGTTGATGTTTCTAAATCGGTAATTGAGACAATAGCTCCTATTCTAGCTTGCATATTTAATGATTGTGTTGACTGTGGTGTTTTTCCTGACCTCATGAAATACAGTAAAATAACTCCTCTGCATAAAACGGGAAGTACATCAGACCCCACAAACTTTAGACCAATTTCTGTGCTACCCACCTTTAGTAAAATTTTCGAAAAAATCATGTTAGATCAAATGCAATCACATTTTAATAAATATAATATACTTCACTGTAAACAATTTGGTTTTACACGGGGTCGTTCAACAACCGATGCCGGCGTTGAACTTATACAACAAATTTTTGACGCCTGGGAGAACTCGCAGGACGCTCTAGGTGTGTTTTGCGACTTGTCCAAGGCTTTTGATTGCGTTTTTCATGAAACATTACTCAGGAAACTCCACCACTATGGATTTAGAGATACTGATCTGGATCTTATTGCGTCATACCTGATGGATAGGATTCAGAGGGTTGACATTAACGGCAATAAGTCTGCGGGTTCGCCGGTTAAAATGGGTGTTCCGCAGGGCTCAATCCTTGGTCCTTTCTTATTTTTAATTTATATTAATGACTTACCTTACTACGTTAGAGATAAGCATGAGATAGTATTGTTCGCGGATGATACATCACTTTTATTTAAACTCAAACGCAAGGAAACAGTTATTGACGACGTGAACAGTTGTATCTCTAAGGTAGTCCACTGGTTTAATGTTAATAATTTATTACTAAATGAAGGAAAAACGAAATGTATTAAATTTGTATTACCTAATGTAAAACAGGTAAATACCAGTGTGAATGTAAAGGATAGGAATATGGGCCTTGTAGACACCACAGTATTCTTAGGGATTACTTTAGATTCTAAGCTTCAATGGGGCCCACATATTGATAAATTGTCAAATAGACTTAGTTCTGCAGCATATGCCGTAATGAAGATACGCCAGTTAACGGATGTAGATACGGCCAGATTAGTATACTTTAGTTATTTCCATAGTGTAATGTCGTACGGAATTTTATTGTGGGGAAACGCCGCCGACATTCAAACTATTTTTGTGCTGCAGAAGAGAGCTATTCGATCAATTTATAATCTTAAAGTTAAGGATTCCTTAAGAGATAGGTTTAAAGAATTTGGTATAATGACGGTTGCATCACAATACATTTACGAAAATTTATTACTTGTAAGAAAAAATATTAATTTGTTTCTTAAAAACAGTGATGTTCACACACTTAATACAAGAAACAAAAATAAACTAACTTTACCTGCTACTAGGCTTCACAAAATCAATAATTCATTTAAAGGTCTTTGTGTTCGCTTATACAATAAAGTCCCAAGCAATATCCAAGAGTTAAGCATAAATAAATTCAAAGATAGTATAAAAAAAGCACTTATTAAAAAAGCTTATTACAAAGTGTCTGATTATATTACAGACAAAAATGCTTGGGTTTGAACTGTTCCAATCATTCCAACAGGTTTTCTATATTAAATAAATCATGATTGTATTGACGTTGTAACAACATAATGATTTGTAAATGTTGTTACATTATGCTTTTAATGTTGTGGAGTTTTTTTCGCTCGTTTTTCTCCGCAGCTAAAAAATATGTCCAATAACGAGTGGTAGGGAAAAAAAATGTTTGGACGATTCAAAAGTGTTGTACTATACATCCAATTTGAATAAAGATATATTGATTTCTGATTTCTGAATGTTTTTCGAGAGTGTATGTATGTATACTAAACCCATTCGTGTAATTTCAGCTTGTATTTCTTAGGCTGCAAGGCATAGATCACGGTAACATAATGGTCAGTGCATCTGCCCGGATAGCGGAGGGTGCAGTTTCGAGTCCCGTCTGCTGCCTGGACCGCGTGGAATTTTTTTTAGTAAAAATTTTCTTTAGATTTAAAATCTAGCAAATAAATGCTTTAAAAAATAAAAATATAATAAATGTCTAGTTGATTATAAAATTGTTGATGTTTTTATTTACTTAGATATAGGGAACTACTTCTTATTCTAAATTCAACGAGCTGGTCCATTAGTGGGGGTCCATTATTAAATTGTGTTCATTATTAGATGTCCATATTTGGTGCATGTTCATCACTGGATGTCCATTAAATGATTTTCCTTGTCCATTGTCCTCTCCGGCGGCCATGCGCATACGCCGCTAAACCCTTATACGGCAGACCACCCACCGAGGCCCCCCGCGGGGTGGGAATGATTGCATTGCTTTGCCGATTTCTCTGTTATTTTGTAAGAATACCCTACACAAACTATATATATTTGGATTCTCCATAAAATTTTCTATAAAACAGTGTCTAAACAATGCGTCATGTCTATAATCTATTTTAATTACGTTACGGTAAACTCGGGAAAGATAAAAAAAGGCGTTTAGACGGGTAAAATGGAGTATATTTTCAAAATCTCAAAATTTCATGTCCAGATTTTTTGGTTATTTGCACATTCTATTATAACTTACCAAATAAAAACCTAAAATTCTATACTACCACAATTAAATTTTACACTACAGATCTGTCTCGAGCGCACGCCAAATGTGTCAACACGTGCGCGTTAATGTAAACATACTCAGATTTCAAGTGGGTCGTTAAAGATTAAGCCGGCTGTTTGGATGGCTGTGATTTATTAGCCCATTAGCTCCGACTGTTAAGATAACATTACAACCAAGATTGTTATGAATAAAGTTTGTCCATTTTTTAGGTTTAAGAACTTATAACGAGGCATTTAAAAATCGCCTACAAATCAGTCATCTCAGTTTTATGTCTATAAAACGAAAAGTATTTACAATTTTGGTAAACAGTTTTTTTTATCAGAATGTACGCGAAATTTGCTTTAGAATAAAGAAAAACTAATCACTAGTTCACATACAAGAAAATAATATAAAAAAATATTTCGTTCGTGTATTTGAATTTCGAACAACCGTTCCACCGCGCGGATTTTGTTTTTTTTTTATTTCTTCAAAAATACGAACTCAAGAGATTCTTTGTATTCGAAGTATTAATCATGAATAATTTATTCAATAATTAAAAATTAAAACATTACAATTATTATCGAAATTATCAAATAAAAACATAGGGTAAGTACCCCTAAGTTTTCGCTGATTTTTTTTGCGACCGCGTCTGCAAAAAAATTCTAAAAAAAATAAATTCACGGAGACCCGCAAACGAAACATCAAAATAGAGTAACTAAATGTATTTAACTTAACCAGGCATGGTGTTTTTTTCTTTAAAACCACTCAAAAGCACTTAAAATAGTCTGAATACACGGCATATTTTTTTTCAGACAAAAAACGGCGAACGACGAACTTTGACAGATAACAGTATAAATATTTCATTTGGCAGTTGTTTTAATCAATGGCTTGATAGCTAAAAAATGTAGGAAATGGCCAAATTTAAGGCCCCAGTGGCCCGAGTCCGACTTTCGTATGGTAAATCGACCGACTTTTGGTCGCTGGCCGCAAGTCGGGGTAACGTCAAAAACCAAAAGTCGGTCGATGGCCGCCTGAGAGGTTCCGTGTTTATATTTTAATGATATCTCTCATTTTTATGCGGTTATTTCTAACTTTTTCGGCATAAGCATAAAGGAAAAAAGACGGACATTAAGCTCAACATTGATGTTTAAACAAAATCCTGATATATTAGGAATAATCCTGCAAAAACCCACCTTTTCATCCTTAAAGTGTCCATAATTGGTGCAATTACGTTATACAACATAATTTAATCTTAATATTTTGGCATGTGTATGCCAACCTTAACATTTATTCGTCACTATTATACGCTACTCAACGTCACCGACGCGTAGAAGTTTCTACGCCACCAACACAATACTTCTGCGCCATATCAGCAAAAAATGGCGGCCTGACCCGTTTATAAAACAAGATAATAATTGGTGGCATTCACAAACCCGCTGAAATGATGAAAAAGTAAAAAAATACTGATGAAATTCTTACTTGGTGACTTTTTATTCAGTGCTGGGTGAGGGTCACTTAAAGTAGGTTGCAGGTATTTCTTGACTGGACTTTCCGGCCTGGACAAAGAAAATTTTGAATGAGCTGAAATTTCTAAGGGTAGAAACGGGATATATGCCTTAGTGGCATTGGTGACTTTTCAAATAACCTTACTTTTACTGTTACTTTCAAATAATCATGAACTGCGCATTTTTCGAAAGCTATTATAAATAATCTTTTCTTTTTTCCATACAACTCTGCCAAATCTTGTAAAAATACACCGAATTTATTAAGAAAATGCACTACCACATAAAAATATCGTTTAAACATTTTAATAAATGGTAACACAGATAATATAGGGTGAAATTGAATGTTTCAATGAAACTTCGTGAGATTGGTGGGTTACGTGTATAGAGTATGCCTGATTTTTTTCGGATTTTTTAAAATTTTTTTTTACGTGTTTTATTTTTTTATTTGGTTATTATTTGTCATTTCTTCCTTATGAGTAATTATTCATTTTAAACACGTCTACATAGAAGTTGTAAAACCACTTAAAATAAGCACTCCTAAAAAAACGGAAACTTAATGAATGCCTCCAGTCCAGATCAGCCCCGGCCGGGGGCGACGACCGGCGCCGGCGGCTGCCTATCTAGGTACCTACGACACGCGCAGATGACTCGGCGCTTACCTACTATCCGTTTTGATTCCACACTATTTAAAAACATTACAATAAAATAGTCTTATATGCTATATTATAATTATTTATTCACTGATACACAATACCTTTGAATATTATTTCATAAAGCACAGGTAATTAATCAATAAAATAAATCTTCTGTTAGAGCAATTAAAAATCCTATAAAGTTAATATGACTGTCACGATTTTAAATCGGTAAAGACTGTCTGTTAGTGTAAGAACTTCTTTTTTATTGTTGATGTTAGTTGCCTCGTTTAATTAAAACTTGAGCAAACGGCGAAAAATTATACAGAGCAAATCGGTTTAACTTACGAGCTTAGTGAAGGAAATAACTCTTCGTGACTGATTTGCCCACGTCATGAAATTCCGAACACATTTAATCACAGTCACAGTCACACACACACACACACACACAATATGTTGTTTTGCGGCAAGCACGGTCGGGCGACGCGCCGCCCGCGCGCCCGCTGGCAAGACAAGTGCAGCGCTGGCGCCGGTCGCGGCGTCTTTGATGATGTGAATCCGTTTTCGTTTATAGTGCGCGTTTTCCTTTCAGGGAAGAAAGAAACAGCACGATTCGCCAAAGTTTCGCTAAAGGTGCGAATACACTAAATCAGCAATAGCGATGTATTGAACAATCTGACGCTAGTTCTCCAACATTTTTATCAACAAATGAATGAATTGTGGATACAACAACTTTATAATTTTGAAATGTTAAATGTTTATCATGTTGTTCGATTAAGGCACTTCGCGCACTAGACGACCGCGGCCACGATCAGTTGTGGACGTGGCCGCAACCTTGGTCGCAGAGGCGGTTGGGCTGCGGCTGCGGTCTGCGGCCACGACCACGACTGGTCGTGACGCTACCATATTGCTGGTCGTTTATTTCATTAATTAATAACTCTGTATCAAAACTTATTGTAGAAAAAAACGTCGTCATATTCAGTCGAAGAACGGTATGAAACATGTTCATTCACGAACTGTCCGCATGACCTTGACACTGAGATTGACCGCATTCGCTGTCGCAAATCTAGTGCGGGCCAGTACGACTGGTCGTTGCGACTATCTTCCGTATAGCTGGCTATGAGCGCTCGCACTCTAGATCTGCGATCGCAAATGCGGCCTGGTCGCTTCAGCCATTCTCAGTGTCATGCTGATAGTTCGTGAAAGAGCACGCTTCGTATCGTTCCGCAACTCTATAGGACGAAGATATTTTTCTGCAATGAGCTTTGAAAGAGTTATTTATTAATGAAATAAAGAAACGACCAGTAATATGGTCGCTTTACGACCAGTCGTGGTCGTTGCCACAAACTTGTCCGCAGCCCAACCGTAGCTTCTGCGATCAAGGTTGTGGTGACGGCCACGACCACGGCTGGTCATGGTCGTGGCCTAGTGCACGACGTGCCTTAGTTAATCTGGTCCTCGCGGCTCCTGGTCGTGGTCATAATCGTCTAGTGCGCGAGGTGCCTTACTGAGGCAGTAACAAATATCAACGGCAGTTTTTTTGTAAATGTTTGACTATAGAAATACAAGGCTTTACTTTAGTCTTAGTCTTAGTAAGTAGTACGGCGCGGGCTATTTCGGCATGATTATGTGAAAGCACCTTAAAAAGTCCTGCCTTTTATGTACGCCGACGCTCGCCCGCCCACCTCCCCTCTTCCCCGCGCGCGGTGCTTTGCTTTGATTGCAATGCATGCAAAGGGCAGTCGCAAGTATATCAATCGCGCGTGCGCATATTTTGACTTAGTGACAAACACTGTGATAATTTCATTATGCCTCGGTATACGAACCAAGAATATTTAGAAATGGTGTACTGCTATCGCGAGTGTGACGAAGTGCTCAGTAAAGTAAAGTAAAAGGAACTAAAAAGACGCATAGAAGTTGCATTTTGTGCAGTGAGAAGTGACAGGGACACTTTAAAATAGGTAGAAAGACACGTCCGCAAACGTGCCTACCTTTGTTTGCAGCAAAATGGTGGTATAGTGCAACAATTTTCTTTTTTTGCTAGCGTAAATACTTTTTGATTCGAAACAACTAATTAGTGTACTACCAGTGTGATTGATAAAAAGTTCTAGTGAAAAAAATGAATATGTTCCTCGTTCCTCGTTGTACTTACTACATCGCCGGTCTCGTAAGTACTGTCTAATACCTAGTTATAAATTTCTTTCTGACCCAAGTATTAAACTGCAATAAGTATTTGTTTTTTTAACAAAATTATTATTAACTTTTTAGGTATTTTTCTCTGCTAATGAGAAGATAACACTTGTTCTTTATTTAAATTTTGTCATTGTAATATGACATCTAAGGCCCGTATGAATAGAACGATCTCAACTCTGAGAGCGATCTTGAGATGCTGTTTAGTATGAACACAGTATCTCGAGGTCGTAGTCTCACTGTACTGTAGATAGGTACGCGCCGCGTCAGCTGTGCGCGCGCGGTCGTTCCCCCCGGCGTCGACCTCGCCTGGCCACATCAACTATTTTTCGTTTATTTTAATAGTGCTTATTTATTTGTTATATTTCACTTACTATGAATACGTGTTTAAAAATAATTATCACTCAAAAGGAGGAAAGGACATAAAAATGCAAAATAAAAAAAATAAAAAACGAAAAAAATAATTTTAAAAAATCCGAAAAAAATCAGGTATACTCTATACATGTAACCCAACAATCTCACGAAGTTTCATAGAAACATTCAATTTCACCCTGTATATTATGGTAAATGTGCATCTTTAAATTAATTCATTTAAAAAAAAAAAAGAGAACTCATAAAAAAAGAAACTTGATCGGAAAAAGTTTGAATATAACAATTATTTTTCATAAAGCCGGGTAGGCAAATGACTCTACCCCACCTGATGGTAAGTGATGATAAATTATATTATAGCTATTAACGGGATTGTTACCATGTACCTTGTTTTTTATGAGTCTCCGATATTTCGGCACTGTTGCAAGCGCCATGATCACGGAGTAACTGAAGTAATTGCGGGTAGATGTTATTGGCAGACATATCGGTCTACCCTTTGACGTCGTCTTTTACTGGGCTCGATAACCATACCACTGGTCATGGCGCTTGCAACAGTGCCGAAATATCGGAGACTCATAAAAAACAAGGTACATGGTAACAATCCCGTTAATAGCTATAATGTTAGTGACCATGAAAGTTTAAAACAGTGATGATAAAGTCCAGACACGAGGATAATGGGTACAACTGTTATAAATTGCTACACCAACTATCCTCACCTTGCCGGCCTGCAGAAATGCTGAAATGAAAATATTGTCGGAAGGAGGGAACACGTGCGTGTGCAAACTTGCGAATAATATGACAAAGAAATGAGTCACGAAATTTCTTTGATTGTGTAGGAATAGTGGCAACAGTAAGTCGGTAAGCCAGCGCGCGTGGTCCTCTGAAGAAAGGGTGATGGAGGGATAAGGGAGAATAACTCCTCAGAACAATCGCCGTGGTATAGCCTGTAGAAAGCGCTTAATGATGCCACATCCCGGGTAATTGTAGAGATTCGAGTTTTTAGTTACCTCTTCATCGCCAATGATGCGGGCAGCGCGGCGCTGTAACCTATTCAAGGCATCAAGTAAGTACTTAGCAGAGCCATCCCAGAGGTGCGAGCAATATTCCACGCAGGACCGCACTTGCGTTTTGTACAACGAGCACAGTTGATCAGGCGGGAAAAAACGCCGCACCTTGTTCAGGACTCCAAGGTTGCGTGAAGCTGTTTTGATCACGTTTTCGATATAGTCCTTTGGATTCAGATCTGTGCGACCATTCATACCGAACATGGTGATGTTGCTTTGTAGCGCTAATGTTGTGCCCTAAAGAGACGGAAGGGGAAAGAATGGCGATGTTTTTGCTGTGAAAGCGCAAACCTGGGCTTTCTAGGCATTGAACTCAACCAAGTTATTGGTATCCTATTCGGAAATGTGGTCCAAAGCCTGATTGAGTTCAGCGGCAAGGTTCTCCCGTTTCTCCTTGGTTTCTATCTGTCCAACCGTTGCGTGTCCAAAGTATCTCGCATGCACTGTACTATCGCCGGCATAGCAATGAATATTTCCAAGAGGAATTAAAACATTGATATGTAGCAGTGTAGTGTGTGGGGGACAGGACGGAGTCCTGAGGACCACCGGCATTCAATGACATGAACTGTGAACTACATTCGTCCATAAGGACGAGATTTTACGCTCATGCAGGAAGTCAGCCGCACGCAGGAAGCTTGGAGAGAAGGTCTTTGTGCCAAATCCTGTCAAAAGCCTTGGCGATGTCAAGGCTGATAGCCAGATACTCCCTGTTTATCTATAGCTTTACCCCATGTGTGACACGTATGCTAGAAGATCACCCGTCCATCGATTCGGAATAAATCCGTATTGAAGATCTTGAATTAGAGAGTAATCTTCTAGGGTGCTGGTTAGATATGGTTACTAAGAACTCTTTCTAAGACTTTACACAACCCTGAGGTGATAGTTATCGGCCGATAGTTTGCCAACTATCGGGTCTAAGCGGTCCTCTTTTTGGGCACCGGCACATTGGCACGGTAATATTATCTATACAGTATTGTGACTGGGCCCTGTCCTTGAAATAACTGCCGACGGTCGAGCGGGGCGTATCCACGCGGTAGGGCTGCCCGCCTACAGTATTTTGATTTCATCTACATAATTGAGTTGATTTCTAGTTTTGTGATTGTAAATATTTTATTTTGACGTTATAAGTTGATAGTAAAACTCAAAAGTTTATTTTATTCTTCTTAGAGCATTTAATTATTATTTTTATTTCATATAAATTTAATACCCATATAGTATGAGTGCAATGAAAATAACTAGTCCGCCATCTTGGATGTTCCGCCGTGTTGGATTTAGAGTGACGTCACACAGCTAACCGTGCTTTTTAATCAAAACGTGTATATACAAAATTTCAGCTCAACCGGTTGAAGATATCTGCTTCAAAATTGAGTTGTAAGATTCCACCCGAACAAACATAGTTACATACCTACCTTTATTGCAAGTTAATTAAAAGCTTGTAAAAACCCGACTGCTGATTTTTATTCTTACATAATACAATAAAAGAATATTATTTTAAACATACAAGTTATATTTATTTGTAAGTCATGGCGCAATCGGGTAAGGACAGTGGCGTAGCATAGGTCACTAGCACCCGGTGCGGATTCCAAATTTGCCGCCCTCTTATTTTTGCAATCCATTATAAAAAAATTGAGGCATGGTAAAAAGAGTACTTTTATTGAATAACACTAACCTAAGAGTGAAATTAACATTTTTTGACATAGAGTAGAAGGTAGACTATCACAATATCACTTAGAAAAATTACAGAGAAAACGTAATACAATAATTCCTAAATAACAGTTATTGAGAAACCTTGCGCTTGCATCACCCATGCATAGAACCTGCATAGGTACCTGGGTATTTGGTAACAACAACAAAAAAATGACGAAAAAGAACTGAAAGAAATTAACTTTTTTTATATTATAATTTTTTTTCTCTATCTGCCACCTCCGCAACGCCGCCCCCGGCAAAGTGCCGCCCGGTGCGGACCGCACCCCCCGCCCCCCCCCATGCTACGCCACTGGGTAAGGAAATTACCTACAATGTAGGTAAATCTTACTAGGTAGGTACTGTAGGGATCGTTTCATGCAAACTAATTATTGTCATTGAAACACTTTTATTTTCAAGAAATTACATTATTATTATCAATAAACAAAATACTGTTTTTTAAACTCCGCACAAATCTCCATATTTTATTGTTTTCCAGCTATCGATTCCTGTCAACAATCCGCCTCTTTTCTAAATTACCTAATAACCTGCCAGTATACACCAAAAATATCCGATCACTACAATACCTACCATTTATTACTCTCGTAAATTATTTCATTATGATATTTCATTTAATTCAATAATGTATGTAGTTTAGTTAATCAATAATGTATGTAGTTAAGTTAAGTAAGTAGATAGCTTAGTCTAGGAAACTACCTACCTATTAAGTAGTTTTGTTTTTAACGCGAGTGTAGGTAGATTACTCGTTTGTCTCTTTTTTCACCCTATCCACTTATTTATATATTATTCCAGATATTTTGCCCGATGGAAAAAGCAAATACCTAAATATTAAAAACAAATTAAGTTCTAAGTAGAAAGGTATATAAAAAAAACCGGCCAAGTGCGAGTCGGACTCGCGCACCGAGGGTTCCGTACAAACCTGCAAGGTTTACAAAGTTCGTTCATTACGACAATCGAGTCATAACTATGGTATTTTTATTGCAAAATGAAATTCATAACATTACAATGGGGAAAGATGGAGGAGCATAAATTTAAGACAAAGATCTCTTTATCGTTTAAGTAATATGGTTGTACTTTTGCGTTTTGCGTTTTTGCGTTGACTTAGATTTTTTTTTTCACGGGTTAAAGGCAATTAGATCTAAGTATTTGATATGAATTTCAACTTGATAGCTCTACGCGTTCATGAGGAAAAAAGTAATAAGTTTATATTTATTAAAAAATATATATTTTGTAATGTAACTAAAAATTTAAGGTTTTCGGAATTTTTCCTTTATGTGTGCTATAAAACGTTGCTTCATGCCAAATTTCAAGATTCTAGATCGACTGGAAGTACCCTTTAGGTTTTGATTCCCTTGCGAGTACTTGCGAGTTTCAAAATATGCAGCTTAAATTGCTGTTTCTTTTGATTGCGTTGACATAGAAGTTTGATTTTGTTACAGCTTAAAGGTATTATAAACCTGAGTATTTGGTATGAATTTCAATTTAATACCTCTACGCGTTTATGAGGAAATGGGTAGTAAGGTTAAAATTATTAAAAAAAAATATATTATGTGATGTAACTAAAAATTTATGGTTTTCGTAATTTTTCCTTTATCTATGCTATAAGACGTTGCTTGGTACCAAATTTCAAGATTCTGAGTTCACGGGAAGCACCCTGTAGGTTTTGATTCCCTTGCAAGTGTCGAAAATTTGCGGCATAAACGGCTGTATCTTTTGATTGCGTTGGCTTAGAAGTTTGATTTTTTCACAGCTTCAAGGGACAGTAGACCTGAGTAATTGATATAAATTTCAGCTTCATACCTCCACGCGTTCCTGAGAAAAAGAGTCTTGACAGACGGACGGACGGACAGACGGACAACAAAGTGATCCTATAAGGGTTCCGTTTTTCCTTTTGAGGTACGGAACCCTAAAAAATATTCTATAGTAAATTTTTGACTCTCTGGGTGCGTTATTGAAGAGTTCAAGCAACCAAAAACCGCACAATATCGTCTTTTGCTCTTTGCCGTATTAAAATATGTAGATATCTACTCAATTCAATCAAATATTTACAATACAAAATGCACGTTTAAGCACGACTAACTGCATAAAAAACAATTCACACCGTTCGATCGTCGCTGCGGCGCATTCGCGACTGGGTGTCCCCCGAGAGTCCCGCGAACTCGAGTGGCGTAGGTATGATTCGCTTTCCAACCGTTTGTATGAAGATAGAATACTGTATATAATATTACCGTGACATTGGCATCCCTCCAAATCTCCGGCACACGCCCCAAAGAGTACGAGAGTTGGTAAAAGCGCGTAAGCACGGGAGACAACTCCGCAGCACAATGTTTTGGTACAACTGCAGGGATGCCAGCGGGTTCACTAGCTTTCCGGACGTCGATACGACCCACCGGACGGAAGGGTTATCACCAATTTCTATTGATTTTTTTGAGATTTGATGAGTGACTCTTTTTAAGTATAATTTTGATACTTTTTGAGATAATAGAGTGATTGATAGCTGTGAACCTTCCTAAAATAAAAATAAATAAATAATTTGTACTGAGGTACAAAATTGGGCACAAATTGAAGGTCTTCTTTGTGAAATCCTCTTATTTTAAACTGTGTTTTACAGTTTTTTTTACTCGTCCACGCGTTTATGTATCTATGCCACAAAAATAGAGTCGGACTGATATCAGTCCCTCTTGTGCCGAGTGGTTATAATTATTAACGAGTGACGTCAGCGCAACACTGGAACAAGCTTTGCTATAGCAGCTTCTCTGTATTTGCATTTATATCCTTATATAGATGGCCCATACATCTGTCTTAAATATAGATTAAAAAAAACTATATCTCGCAATACATACCTCGGTATGGTTACAGATGGTAAACCAGATCTTTTGAATGGCCCTTTGGTTGATGATCTTTTCGTCTGGGAGTCAAAAGACGATATACCTGAAAGTTGTAATAAACTGTCTAAATCTAGTGAAAAATAAAACTAAATTCAGCATATCATTATCTAAATTGTTAAGATTGGTGTTGGACGTATCACAGAAATTATTATTTTCGAACAAATATTATATTTTCTATTTGCCATTCCGTAAAGTAGACACGTATGTGAAGTATTATTTGTAAAATTTTATGAACGAAGACACTTACTCGACATAACTGGCTGAGATGCTGATTCGGTTATCTCTGTCCTGCCTACGTTAGCAACGGTCTGCTGAAATTAATAATTGAACCGTGACTTATGATTATAACTATAGATATAGCAACTAAAGATTAGAAGAAGTCAAAAGTTTATTCAAATAAAAGAGGAAAATCTTAAAAAAATATTATATTATTACGATTACACCTATTGTTATATTACCTGCGTTTCGGTTTCCGGTTTCTCCTTGTCGAGTTTCTCCATATCAACTGCTTGTTCATTTGTTTTTCTTAGGCCAGCGATAAGACTAGTTTGTTGTTTCTGTTACAAAAGTAATTGCACTTTATAAATAAAGCTCGTATATACATTATTTAAAACTTTCATGGTCACTAACATTACAGCTATTGTTACAATGTACCATGTTGTTCTTACATATGTTATGTACCCTTTGGCTGGAGTCTTCGTGAAGTAAAACCAGTTGATGCTTCTAAGTATTTATTTAATTACTGCTATGCCGATCTGGCTTACACTCAGACTAATTTAGAGAGGAGGTGTTATATGAAGACGAATAGCGTCGCGAACCGGTAGATGAGTCTTGATGAGTGCCTGAGGCAAGTATCTGATGTAGACTGTCTTGGTCCCGAGGGATTTGGGGCTTTTATAGGAAGGTGTAAACAAGTGCTCACGTGTTGCCGAATTGCGAATGTTCCGCGAAAGAATAAGGTGATATCGAGTCACCGTAGATTATCTGAAGTTCTAATGGTTTCTAATGAGAAGCGATAATGAGCTTTAATGATCGGTGTCAAGTAATCAACTATTTTATGGTGGCAATTTGGGTGGCCATGTCATACGCAATATGATGGAGGACAAAGGGTCTCATATTTAATTTAGAGGAAAACATCATGTGATCGTAAGGATCGTATGATGGTGGCGTGATGCGCAAATGATGATGCAATAAGTGGAGGAATATGCAAGTAATAGTTATGGTATATAACACTTCCCCTGTTAAAGAAAACAATGAGGTACGAATTGTTTTACAAAAAGAAATTACATAAATGAAAAAGTGAGGTAAATACAAAAAGAAATTACACAAAATGAATACAAAAAAGAAATTATACAAAATGAAGTTATAAAATAAAAGTTATAAGCTTATCTATCTATCTTATAAAGAAATTACATGAACAAAATAAAGTTTACAAACTTATCTGTCTTATGTTTACAATGCTTATGCTTAATGTGCTAAGTTTTGAGGTACAATTGTTGCTCTGATTTTGCTCTATAATTTATTGCTTAATTGCTTGACGAGGCTTACAATGCTTTATGATATTAGTTATTAATTATACAAAAATAATAAAAATGCTTATTACTATATGATTATATAAGTTTTTTTTTTTTTTTCTTAACTATCCAAATTATAACTATATTTTGCCTTATCAAATATGGGCGACTTCTGTCTTAAAGGTTGTCTTATTTCAACTTCTTCCTCCCTATCTTGCCTTATAGACATTCGTACTGTAGGTTCTACGGTTTTTCTCGTATTACATTGATTATAAATTTGAATACAACAGTTCCCATTGTTTGGGTCATTTCCATTATTGAAACAATTAAGAAATCTAAACAATCTAGTAATTTTACAAAGTTTATACATTAAAAATATTAAAACAGTGAAACATAAAACATAAACTATCCATGATACATGTTCATGAGGTACAAAAGAAAAAGTATTTCTCGCATCCGCATCAATCTGTTTTTCAAGGGTTTTCAATTTTACTGCAGCTAAGTTTAAATCATCTAATTGTATGTTATTTAATTGTAATGGTATTAGGCTATATTTGGTGATATTGATTTTATTTTTATCACAGCAATCGTCTTCTGTGAGGTCAAATGTTATTTCGGGTGCCGTCCAATTCGTCGCGAGATTATCAGTGGCAATTAATTGAATTAAGTTAGCGTATGCTTTACAACCTTTATCTAATTCTACAATACCAGTGTTCATCAATTCATATTCAGTTAATTGTTCGTGACCTGCGCAATCTATAGTTAATTTGGTGGGTTTAGAATAAATAAATATCCATCTATTATTGGTTAGTTTTTGCCAAATTTCAAAGTTATAATAATTTTGTGTTACAATCGGATGGTAGGTTTCGTACTATTTTAGTTAAAAGTTGAGTTTCACATGAAGGATTTGAAATGGTAGAATATTCGTTAAGGTTATTGCAAATGAAGTGTTCAGATGAGAGGCTTTTACATCCTTCGAAGTTATTAAATTGAACATAAGATTGTCTGTTTGTAGTCATTCCAAGGTATCGCCTGTTTGGCTGAACAAGGGCAAATATTTCGTTATCATGAACGTGCGGAGTTGGTAATGGTAATACATGAAATAATTCAAATTCGTTTGTATTTACTAATGGTATATTGAGTATGAAAACTAATTTAAAGTTTATGTAAAAGACATTAAGAGTTGAAATATCAATAAGCAAGTGGATATCTTCCATATTTAATGGAAGTGGAAGTTCTCTACTTTGTTTCAAATAGTGTTGGTTATATGAGAGTTCCTTGTATACTTGACTTGGCGTAATAATATAGGGGTGGAGAATATTCTGTTTAGCGAAAAGAATGGAATTTAATAGCATTTCTAGGTCGTCGTAGACGTTTTCGCTCAAGGTACTTAATATTTCAAAATGAGTGTTCAACGTTGTTTTTATATTTAAGAGAGTAATATTAGAATTAGTGTCATTCATGAAGCGGTTGATTATTTCAAAGTTCTTTAATATTAATTTTTCATTAGAATTTAATTTTTTTATAGTTGCATTGAAATTTTGAATCGCGGATTGAGTTACCTGTATTTGATTTTTCATTAGACTATATATTTCTTTGTCATCTGACAATACCTTTGTTATTGCTTCATCATAGTATAGTGCGTCTTCAGAATCCATTGTTCCGAATATAGTTTTTAAAACTGAACCTATTCCGTCGAACCATCCTCGTTTGGTTCGCTTAGAGCTAGTGAGGTGAGACAATGATGAGTAAAGTGTGTCTATTTTATCAATTTGTTTTTCAAGAGGTTTAAGCCTGCTGCTGCATTTAATAGGTATTTGGTCTAGAGCAAGGCATTTATTAGACGTAGTTTGGTAATTTTGTTGTAAGAAGGTGATCGCTTTGGGAATTGATGAGAAATCTTTAAACGTGATTAATTTCCAATGGTCTACTAAAATTTTCAGAGTCCCTACTCTGTCGAAATATAAACCTGCGCCTTTCTCTATCGGAGTTATCTTCATCGTTGCCGCGGCCGCAACGAATAACCTGAAATAGGATGATTCCCAGTTGATTTTATTTTATCGTTATTATTACTAACTGTTATAACATTATCTTTATTATTTAATTTATTTGCTAGTTTAATTCTATTTACATGTACTCTTATTAATTTGCCTTTTTCTGTCTTAATAACTACATTTGCATTGGCTTTTACTGCTGTAATCTTATAAGGTCCTTTCCAGCTTGGGCTAAGTTTATTTATACTCTTAAAATTTAAATATACTTCATCATCTACTTTATATTTATGTACATTATGTTTCTCATCGTATCTGACTTTAGATTTTTCTTTACTAGTGATCAAATTATTTCTGGCAATTTCTAATGTTTTATTTAATTTATATTTTAAGTTTTGAACGTAATTTTCATAATTTAATTCGCCTGTTATCTTCTCAACAGAGCTTGGTAAATTGGGCTTTTGGCCAAATACTAATTCATGAGGTGTATACTTGCTACTGCTATGTACGCTTGTATTGTATGCGAACATTGCTAATGGTATATAATCGTCCCAATCATCTTGTTCTTTGGATACATATTGCTTTAAATAATCCTTAAGGGTGGAATGACTTCTTTCTAAGGCTCCATTTGTTTGTGGGTGATACGCCGTTGATGTGAGTTTCTTTATTTTAAAGATTTTTGCTATTTCTTTCAGTAAATTAGACATAAACTCGGTTCCTTGGTCGGTTAGGATCATTTTAGGTATGCCGAAATAAGTCATGAAGAGTATTAGTTTACTTGATACTGTTTCAGCATCATGAGAGGGAATACTAAAAGCTTGAGAGAATTTAGTCAAGTCATCTTGTAGTGTTAATATATATTTGTTTTTCTTTTTAGTCTCTGGTAAGGGTCCTACAATATCTAATGCTACTCTTTCAAATGCTTGAGTTGACGTTGTTGTGATTATCATTGGAGCTTTTATTTTTTTTCTAACTCTTTTATTTACTTGGCATTGGCTGCATGATTTAACATATTCCATTATATCAAGTTTCATATTAGGCCAGTTATAATTTTGTTTTATTCTGGCGTACATTTTTACAATTCCATTGTGTCCTGAGGCTGTACTATTGTGGTTTTCTTTAAGTATCGTTGGTATTTCACTTGGATTCGGTGTAACGATTTTATTATGACACATGCGAATAGAGATATCTAGATTACGAAATACATAGAATATTATTTGTTTTATTTTATCAGGGTGAAGCGAACTATATGAATCTTTAAAGTTAGGTAAATATATTAATTTAATTCCATCATCTAAAAGGCGATTACGAAGATTTCGTAAAGTATAAAATAAGTCCTTTGGAGTTAATGTATCGTAATGATTGTATTTATAGACACAATGATAAAAATTTTGTTTATTTGAAGTTGTTTTAAATATCTGGTAGATTTCTTTGGGTTGCGATATTATTAAATCGATATCATTACATTTAGTAAAAATTTCTAATGTATTTGGGTCTTCTTCATCTAAATTTACATTTGTAAAGTTTGCTACATTTTCATGTTTTTCGTTAAATAATTTTTCGTCAATTTCTAAGAAATCTTTAACTGTGAACTCATTGTTTTGTGAAAAGAAGTTCTGAAAGTCTGTGTATGTCTCTAATTTGTCATCGGTATTTAGTGTGTTTATTACTACTCGTGAAAGGCAATCTGCATTTGAATTTACTCTTCCTGGTTTGTGGATGATTTCGTAATCAAATTCTTCTAACTGTAATCTCCATCTTACAAGTTTACTACCTGGATCCTTTACATTAAATAACCAGGTAAGTGGTCTATGGTCAGTTACTATTTTGAAATGTCTGCCATATAGATATGGGCGGAAGTGTTGTATTGCCCACTTTATGGCTAGAAGTTCTTTTTCAGTTGTGTTGTAATTACCTTCTGCACTATTAAGTGTGCGTGATGCGTATGCTATTGGGAGATCTTTACCTATTTCTCCTTGACTCAAAACTGCGCCTATTGCAAAATTACTTGCGTCAGTTGTTAATATAAATTCCTTACTAAAGTCGGGGTAT